ATGGTGAAGTTTGGTCGATGATGAACGAGGAAACAACTCGGCCAAAGCCACCTTTAGACTATCATCTTTTGTCGTTGACTCAACTTCAGCAACAGATACAAAATCAACATGGCCGGCTTCTTCGGCGACTACGTCGCCATCAAGGAAATTCGGTTGGGTCGTGCTTGATTGAAAATCAGCGGGTAACACATGGACCATACTGATTTCCATGTTATCCAGGACTGACGGGCCCATCGGGTTAGGACCCTCCTCACTAGCCTCATCTCTTGTCTGGTCAGCAATCGCGGACTCTGTTGCTATCAAGGTTGGACAACGAGACTCTTCTGTTCCTTCTTCGATGGTTTGATCCTATGGTGCTGCTTCGGCAACTTGTTGGTTCTGCGTACCTACCTCATGTGAGGTTGAGATCGACAGTGGGCTTGGGGTCAGGACCTGCTCCTGGTAATGTAGTCGGGCATCCCTAGTGTCGAGATAAGCATTCAGACGTGCAACACGTGCTATTTCATCGGTCGTAAGGCCGAAGAGCGAAACAGCCGAGAATACTTCGAAGTGGTATCGTAAATACTGAAGGTCATCCATTGAGAAAGAAAGGTCGGCTGCATCAATATCAGTGTATGGGTCGACTTCAAATCCAAGGACACGAGCTTCTCATATGTGCTGGAACCTTGCTTTCAATCCTAGGTCTGAGGTTTTCTGGATGATTCGCTCGGCATCAGGACAAGTCAGGACTAGATCAATGGTGTCCTGGCATGCCTTTGGCAAGCCATACAGATCATTGGCCGAATGTTTCTTATGGAATTCTCGCATGTACTCCAAAGCCTCCCCAAGGAACGGGGGGTGCAAATTCCGTCGGATCTTGATCAAAGGTCCTTGTATAGCCAGCGGGGCTAATTTGCTTTCGGCCTCTTACCTGAAATGTTCAAGGCGCGCCTTCATCTCCCCTGGTCGAAGAAGAAGTTTGATCCGTTTATCGGCCTCTTCAAACGTGGTTTCGACATCTTGGTCGACCAGCCGTCTCCCTTGAGCCAACTTTGTCATAATGGCTGGAGGTGGTCGTTCATCATCAGTAGCAATTGTGTCATTCGGCAACCATTTAGGGACCGAAGTTTCTTGGGCTGCCCGTCGACGGGCCATGCAATCTATCATTTGATGCCGGCGTTTCTGGGATTTGGACAACGCGGTGTAGACGCCTTTCGAAGAATGATATGTATACCAACGTTGATATCTAGGCTCGGGAGGTTTGAAGGTTTTTTGGCTCCGCGATGATTCTGAACTGCTAGAATTACGTTTATAGTAATCATCGTCATAGAATGAAGCATCAAAATCGAGGCGCCGCCTGACCGGGGGTGTCTCTTCCATCCGTACTTTAGGACCGAGCCTATCAAAAACCCTTTGATGTTGGCCTACTTCGGCAACCTTCTGCTGGGTTGCGGCCGTAGGTCGTTCCGTTATAAGCGAAAAGGGCTTCTCCTCTGGCTCACTACCGACCTTGGCTCTGCATTTGCTGCACAAAACTGATGTCCCACTGTCTTCATCGGTGGTATAATCTACCATAGGTTTGACAATAGCGGGTCCCGTTAAAGCTGTAGGTGGTTTGTTTGAACGAAAATCGGCCATGAAACGTGGCCGAGAATTCTGATTCCGAAAGCGTTGCGTCGCAACATCTTCGGCCTTTCCTTTCCCTTTGTCCTTAGGTAGGCACGCATCGACCATATTTACTGTTGCCGTGGGGAACGGGTCAGTATCAACACTCATCTTCTTCTCTGGAAATTTCAGTTTGCCATTATCAATCCAGCTTTGGACGTTGTCGCGAAACACGACGTAATTGTTTGTCGTATGTTTGCTTGAATTGTGGTATTTACAATATACCTTTCCTTTAAGCTCTTCGGCCTTGGGAATGTTGTGACCAGGCCGAAGCTTGATGATTCTTGCTGATAACAGTTGGTCAAAAATTGCGTCAGCCTTTGTAATATCAAAAGTATAAACTTTTGACGGTTTCAACGTTCCCTCAGTAGCCGAACGGCTTTTGACTTCCCCAGAGTCAACTTGAGTCAATGCCTTGCAGACGTATAGCTTATCTATCACTATCTCAGCTGCATCCACACTAACACATTCATCATTGGTTGATGCATAATTGATAGTAAGATTCTTGTAAATCGTCCCCCGAGTTGGAACTTTCGAAATATTTTCCTCGCGGAGCAAATAATCATACTGCTCGACATGCTGGGCTAATTCGTACATATCCCGAAAGTTTGCCCCTAAGAATTTCTTTTTGTATTCGACGTCGAGGCCGTTCAAAGCAAGCCTGACAAATTCGACTTCGGGTAAAGGCACTCGGCACCAATTCCTGGCTGATTTGAACCTGGTAAGATAATCCATTGGTGACTCATCAGATGTTTGAGCCATCCTTGCTAATGAGGAAACTGACATCTCCATCCCTGGCCGATAAAACTGCTCGTGGAATTTCTCGACCAACTCCTCCCAGTTTTGGACGGAATTAGGAGGGAGATTGATATACCAGGCGAATGCTGAACTGGTCAATGAGAAGTTGAACAGCCGTAACTTATGGAAATCACTATTAACATCCCCGCATTGCGCGGTGAAACGAGCCACGTGCTCCAACGAAGACAGAGACGATTCACCGGTAAAAAGGCTAAAATCTGGGATCTTGAAACCCTTCGGGTATCCGAACGTTTCCACGTAGGCCGGGTACGGATGGATAAACTTAGGAAACTTCGGCCCTTTCTTCATGGCCGAGTCGATCATCCGCTGAACTTCGGTCATGTCAACAGGTGTTGCTTCGACCCTCTGGTCGATTCCGTCTGACCTACTATTCGACCCTCCTCCTTTTTCCAAGTTAATTTGTTTGAGCCGAGCAGGAATAAGCTCGGCCGGTGCAATTGGCAACGGATTGTTTCCTGGTGGTAAGTGCTGGAGAAGATCGAAAGGCCTGCTGTCACTGACTTTACTAACCAGCATTTCGAGCATTCTGGTTTGTCGCTCATTGGAACTGAGTATCACGTCATGCAACTTGTCAATGCCTCAACTAAACGTCTGCTCGACTGACCGAGACTGCTCATCTAGTCGCTTTCGAAGAAACGACCTCGTTGGCGGATCAGATCCTTCACCACCATCCTCATCGCACTCCTCTACTATCCCTTCATTGAGAACGCAGGTGTTTCTGTTAGGGATTTCTAGACCGCGCAGTTGACCGCCAAGATTAACTTCTCTCTCTCGGCGAGTCGCGCTCGTGGACTCAGGTGTCACAGCGCTAAGGGGATTCTGCGCCTGTGGCACACTTTGTCCTATGCTCTGATTCGGCAAATCGGCTGTCGACTTTCCCATAGCTGTTTTCTTTTTTACTGATCGTGTTTCAATTGGCATGAACTTCGTAGTCTAGCACTGGGTCCCACTGGGCGTGCCAAAATGTTGACCCTAAAAACTACCAAGCCTACGTGGCGCGCAGGCCGAGTAATCTATAAGCTAACTACGTCATTCGATGATTGCGGGGCGTGCCAACTCGTCGGCCGAAGAGTAAATTTTTTGATGTTGCGTTGGGTGCGCGGCTGACTTCTGCGTCTTGCGATTGTGGCCGAGGAAGGAACACGTCTCGGCCTCTTGAGCTCTCGAACCTGAAGACAAGGCTACTATTTTTATGAAGTTCAATATCAAATTCAGCTTTCAACGTGCCGAATGTAATAACTTGTAACACCTCACTTCGCCGAGAAGGCTGATGAGATGACCTCGACCAATAAGGATTCAGAAATCCTTCTCGACCGAGACTTGGATAGGTAATCAATCGTTCTCGCCGCAGTGCTGTTGATGCCAACGGAAGATACTGCGAGACCGACTGATTCTATGGTGACAGAGCTATCTATGCCGACTTAAGATATCACCAGTTGCTTCCACAGTGATGTTGATGCCAACGGAAGATGTGTCAGCGAAAAAGAAAAAGAAAAATCACAAGTTGTGAGAATTTGCGCAGGGCAATTTTGTATTGATTTGCAGGGGGCCTCTTTTTGAAGCACAGCTTTCCCTATTTATAGCACTGGATCCTGAATCCGAGTTAAAATCCTACTCGGACTAGGTCTTCCTCTCCGGATCAACACCACCTCGACCAGTCCTACCTTCACTAGGACTATGAATCTAGTCCTTAACTGAGCCGGATTCGCTTTCTGAATTACTGATCCCGTCGAGACTCCCCATTGCACTAGGACTCGACTTGCGTTCTGATCAAACTGACCTAGGCTTGGAAGCCCACGAGTTGAACGATCCATGGTCCTTTTGCCGCACGGCCTCTTGGGCCGAGAATGATCCTACCCTCGGCCCAAACTATTATTTTGGGCCCAAATAACACTATAATCATTTATATATAATGAATTAGTACAATATTTTACACTTTATACATTGCATGGTAAGATACATGAGTGACTTAGCAAGGTCAAAAATATCGATGATATCAGAAATATCGATAGTCCAAAAACACGGAAATTTCGATTGAAATATCGGGATATTATGGATATTTTAGACCATAAGTGAAGTTTTAATAAAAAAAACAAAATTTAGTTTTGGTGAAATTAAATTATTGTCTATCATTTTTTCTATGACAAAAGATTAAATAATCTCTTCATCATCTTTTATTTGACAAAGAAAATTCCATTAATATGAAATTTATATAAATAGACATATAATTTGTGACGTTACACAATTATAATCAGCTCAAATTTATAGTTAGTAGCTATTTACACGAAATTTATAAGCCTACCGCCAATTATTTGGCAGGCCAAAACGGTAATTTGAAAATAGCGGGAAACTCCCTTCAAAATTTCCAGATCTCTCGATTCAAATCCCGCCCAAAACAAAACAACGATCCGCGTCACTCATATCCCCAAACAACACGCACCGTCGATCTACACTTCATCAACGTCTCAAAATCACCCAAACTCAAAGCCGCGGATCGTCAGCTCTCACCCTTCCCCCGCTATAAAGGCAACTTTACCTGTCTCGCACCACAGCTCACCGCACACTCCACTCTCTCACCAAACTCTCTATAAACGGCACCGTAATCATCGAAGATGTCAGGACGCGGAAAGGGAGGCAAGGGCCTGGGCAAGGGCGGAGCGAAACGGCACCGTAAGGTCCTCCGCGACAACATCCAGGGCATCACCAAGCCGGCGATTCGGAGGCTGGCCAGAAGAGGCGGGGTGAAGAGAATCAGCGGGCTAATCTACGAGGAGACCAGAGGCGTCCTCAAGATCTTCTTGGAGAACGTGATCCGTGACGCTGTGACGTACACCGAGCACGCCCGCAGGAAGACGGTCACCGCCATGGACGTCGTCTATGCTCTCAAGAGGCAGGGTAGGACCCTCTACGGATTCGGGGGTTAATTTTGTAAATTCAATCCTTGGGGTTTCGAATGGGTCGGAGTTTTAGATTCGGGTTGTAATTTGTCGCAAAATTGAAAGGATCCTTTGCTTTTTTGGATTTAGCAAAGTAGTACTCGGCTGTTGTTGGCTTGTCGTTTTCAACAGCGACCTGAATTTATTTTGTTATTTAAATCATTTTTACGGCAATTATTTAAAATTCTTTTTCTTTTTAACATACAAAATTTTTATTTTAATTGTGTGGGGGAGTGTGTTAATTCAAAATGTGTTAGTAATAATATTGTTTAACATTGTTTTTATAAGAATCAAATTTAAATATTTTTACATAAAAATAAAGAAGAATATTATTAAATTGTAGTATTAAGTTGTTTTATAAATACAAAAAAATGAATTTGGATTTTTGTTAGATTTTCTTGGTTAGGATTTTGAAAATTTATGAATTATATATGTTTATTATATATTGTGCGGTTAAAAATTATTTTAATATTTTATTTAAAATTATATACAAAAATAATATCGAATAAAAATTAATTATAAGATATATGACAAAAGAATATGATTTGTACATCATCAAAATTTTAAACAAAAGAAATCTGGAAAGGATTCTGTTGGCCAAAACATGACAATAATCAGTTGCCATAAAAGATAAAAAAAACCGTAAATGCTGTTATGTGGCCCTCGGCTGCCGTGTGACCGCTAAAATTTCTGACGTGGCACAATCATTTTGTGGGCCCCAATAACGAATCCGACAAAACCTCACCCCACCATCGTTGGCGGCACTTGAATCTTTTTACCCGAGTTGCAATCCCACTAAAGTCGGTCGGGACGCCACAACCTCTCCTATGCCATCCCCGAAAGGCCAACGATTCCCAGGGGTAGTTTCGTGATTACCCTGATTCCGCCATGGGCATTCCCTGCGACGACATCGTCGTTATCAAGCCGGGGAAGGCTCCTGACGAGCCCTCCGTCCTCACCGTCAACTGTCCCGACAAGGCCGGCCTCGGCTGCGACCTCTGCTGAATCATCCTCCAGTTCGGCCTCTCCATTACCAAAGGAGGTAATTCAAATCTGCAATTTCAAATTCTGGCACCTGGGTTTTTCGAATTCCTCAATTTGGCACCCGGGTTTTTGAGATTTTGAGATTTTTGGGTGTTTTTGTTGCAGATTTCTCGACGGATGGAAGGTGGTGCTATATAGTGCTGTGGGTCGTCCCCCACCACGAATCCCTGAAGGTCGATTGGGAGAGGTTGAAGGATCGGCTCTCGTCCGCGTGCCCGTCGTCGTGCTTCTTCTCGTTTTATCTCAATCAATTCTCCAACGTCCCAACGCCCTCTCCGGTCTATCTGTTGAAGTTTTGGTGCCACGACCAGAGAGGCTCACTCCACGGTCAAAATCTCAACTTCTTCATTAATTTTATTGGGTTTTCGATTTTGTTCTCGACTGTTGTTTGTTTTGTTCATATGGTTGAGTAATGAAGAAGTTATGGTTGTTTTTTGTGTAAATGTAGATGTTACCAAAGTGCTCTGTGAGCTTGAAATTCTGATTCAGAGAGTGAAAGTGATGCCGACCCCGGATGGCCGAGTTTTGGACCTCTTCTTCATCACAGATTGCTTGTGAGTTTTTCGTGCGCCTTTTGAAAATTGCGTGTTGGTGTTGTGGTTATTAATCTTAAGAACTATCCACTTTTACTTCAACAATATAATTTTTACTTTAGTATGCTTCACATTCAGGTGTCCATGATTGATTTTGAATAGTTGTCTGGTTTGCTAATTACGCTCGAGATATCGGAACCAGCTGCCAGTCTTAAATTCTCGTGTTGGTTTATGACCCTTTTGAGTTAATCCCATATTTTAAAGGAATCTAGATGAATTCGGTTGGCAATACATTGGGCGAATTATCTGATCTGGTTGTATTGTTGATCAAATTACATAAGCGAATTTGATGGCCTATGTGGCAATTTGGATTTGGATATTACATAACTTCCCACCTTATATGTCAAAATTTATTTATTCATTTTACTTATGTTTTTTTTTTATCTTCCTTATTACATAGTTTGGTATTAAAGTAGCCCACATTAACAAAAGAAATTGCATTAATGACCCCAGTTAACAATTCAAATTAATGAAATGCTGTCCCTTTAATCCTCATTGGCTTTGGCTGATCGATGGGAGTAATTTTTCTGCCAAAGCTAACCTTTTTCTGTCCAGTGTGGCAGTTGACATCTCGGTTGGAGATGCTCTTAACTGGGAGAACTGTGTATGTATTCTGGGTTGTCAATTTTTTCATTTCTTCTGTTAGTACTTTGAATTTTGGATATCATTCTTCCCAAACTTGGCTGATTCTTTTGAGTTTAATACCAATCTAATGTCCCGGCATTCACTTCATAAGACTAGTTTCAGAGAGTACACAATGTGGTGAAGACTTGTAATTGCTCGTAAGTGTTGGTTATACCTTGGAGCGTTTATTAACCCCCATTATTTGGTACCATTTACTTTCAGGGAGTTGTTACACACAAAACAGAGAAGAGACGACATATGTGAGCATCTGATGGCTGCTTTAGGAGAGTACTGCATCACCTGTGAGCTTAAGTTGCCTGGACCTGAGTATGAAAGTCTGCAGGGGAATTCTTCTCTTCCACCAGCCATTGCTGACGAATTATTTAGCTATCAGCTGAAGGATGAGGAGGCTTATCCAAAAGCTCTCACCCAGAACATGGGAACGGTGAACAAGACCAGTATTACAGTGGATAATTCATTGAGCCCTTTTCATACGGTGCTGCAAATACAGTGTGTTGATCGGAATGGCCTCTTTTATGACATTATGAGGACTTCCAAGGACTGCAATATTCAGGTACTTTTTCATGATGTCTTGAAATTCTGTTGTCCAAAAATTTTGGCTGCCTCAATATACTAGGACAGATTTGAGTCAGACAGCCACTTTCGTGCATGTTTCTTGAGTACCATTTTTTGGTTCTTGCAGCTGTAAATATTTAAGGAAATGAATTTTCGGTTTTCCTTTTTAGTGTTCATAACTCCCATTGGATATGACCTTTGTGTTTCGCTACTTATAATACGTACTTATATTTGCAATTAGCAGTTTACTGATGCAAGTCTGTTGTTTCTCATTTAGATTGCCTATGGTAGATTCTCTTCACCTGTGAAAGGCTTCCGAAATTTGGACCTATTTATTCAGCAGACAAATGGAAAAAAGCTTGTTGATCCTGAAGTTCAGGTTGCATTGTGTAATCATTTAAAGGAGGAGATGGTTCACCCACTGAGAGTGATCGTTGCCAACAGGGGCCCAGAAACTGAACTCTTAGTTGCTAATCCAGTTGAGTTATCTGGAAAGGGGAGGCCCCTCGTATTCTACAATGTTACTCTAGCACTGAAACAATTGGGAGTATCTATTTTTGCGGTAAGAATTTGATGTGAGTTTCCTTTTTGTGGCATGCCCTCTCGCGTTCTCTCATTATTTCATTGTTGATTTGCAGGCTGAAATTGTAAGGAATTCAACTTCAGTTTGCCAGTGGGAAATCTACCGATTTCTTTTGGATGATAGTCGTGAATTTCCATTGGTAAGCAAACAAAATAGGAGTAATATTGTAGAGAGAGTTAGAAGAACCCTCTTGGGCTGGTGAGCTGTTACATTTGCTCCCCTTTTGAGGATCGCATCCTCGAATTCTTTCCATCTTGTAAGTGTGCTGTACAGCAGCTCCGTCCAAATAGTTATGGTTATCTGCACTAGTAGAGTGTAGAATCTCTACTGACTATTTTAGGAGGAAGTTCGTGGTCGTGTACTAAGACTACTGTGAGACTGCAGAACTATGTTTTAGCTCGCAAAGCTTGCCGTCAATATGCAACTTATGTTTTCTTAAAATTTCGAACATATATGTACTCCGTATGTTGTATTTTCATCTTGAAGTGCTTATATCGAATGGAAATGTACTCTGGTTTTCGTAGTAACATGGTGTGTGTTCATCTGAAAGTGATTATTTCGGCCGCTTTGGTGGTTATGTGCAGGTGCATATATAGAAATGCCACCTCTTGTGCTACCTTGCTTTCGGGCCGTTTGAATTGTATGAAACGGAACTGAAACTGCTGATAGCCATTCATCTGAAAGTGGTTATTTCGGCCGCTTTGGTATTTTCATCTTGAAGTGCTTATATGGAATGGAAATGTAAGCATATTCTTATTAGCATTCATATTTCTATTTATCACACCCAATTGCCTGCAAAGTTTTTAGGTTTTTCCTACGCTTGTTGTATGCTTTCACCTCAAGTGCTTTTTCATGGATCACTTGCATTTTTATTAAAAAAAATTCAATGTGCTTTTAATAGAAGTGCTTTTACTGACGTGCTTATATGCAGAAGTAATTTTTAAAAATGCATTTCTAAACAAGCCCAAGGGTACAGCCACATTGGCGTTTTTAGTACACTGAGTGATATTGTATTTTATGCGTGAAGTAATAATATAAGAGAGACTAAATTTGTAGGAAAATTTTTGAAAACTAGACATGGAAGTTGATGATTGGTTTATTACTTACACATTGATAGACGTGCTTATTCTTATTAGTGACACATCATTTAGTTTGCAAATTTCGTCTCTAAATTTAGCCTTTCTAACATTATCCTTATGCATGTGGTGAGTTAAAAATGGGTTCAGTTGAAAGTAACTTTAGAATTTCTTTCAAATTCCATCTAATTTTTTAGCCCATAATGCTTCTTCGAACTCGATTTGGCTCACTTAATCACTCATGACTCACCACACATTCTGTTGTCACACTTTGCTAATTAGCGTTCAAATCCGTTGAAAGATTTCTACAACTATGTTGACGTGGCATGAATGATGTTGATGCACAAAATCAGTGAAGACTTTGGTACAACAGAAAGTGTCAGGTTTTGTGACCTTCGCTTGGTTGCTTCGGTCACTAGTGAGGATAAGTACGTAAATGAATAGAGACAGAGAAGCAAACACAGGATGTACGTGGTTCACCCAGATTGGCTACGTCCACGGAGTAGAGGAGTTCTTATTAGTAGTGAAGGGCTTACACAAGTACAAAGGATCAAGCTCTCAATTTAGTGAGTTCTTGTGAATGATTTAACACAAATGGCATTAGGCAATATTGTGGGGGAATGACCCCTATTTATAGAAAAACTTGTAGCTTTGTCACATTGACATGTGTCATGTTATGATTGGTTCTTGAT